TGCTTGCGGGAACAAGGGAAGGCGACACCAAACCAACAGGGGCCGCCAGTCCGAGGGGCCAGGGGGGGTCTCCCTGTTGGCGTTGGCCCTCGCACCCCGCTCGAGACATCCCCGACGTCCCCGATGTTGGGCCCAGGGGGGCGTGGACCTCCTCGCTGGAGGCGGGCTCTCTGGCGGCGTTGGCGCCGCCCCTCCCCCCCCCGATGTTCGGGCCAAGAATGCCCGCCAGCACTTGAGCCAAAATGGCTACGGATTGGGCATGCGTGCCAAGGCCCGCTGCGCGGCGCGCGTGCGCGATGACAATCTGGGCGCCCCCGCCCCAGCCCCGTTGTCTAACCATTTCCTACTTGCCCCCCCACCCCCGTTCGTTGCACCCTCGAGTGTAGGCCATCAGCGCGTAAAGCGACATCGCGTAAAGCAAACCATAGCATACGCAGACGACGCATGTGATGTCAGCCGCTAAGCATGTTACGCACGTACGCACACTACGCACGTAAGAATGCCACGCACATGCACCTAAACTCAACGCAGTACGCAGGAAGCGCACAATGCGGAAACTATACATGATAGTTTCCGAATTGCAGGGTTTTGCGCCACAGGCGCCGCACTTCACAGCCATAGCCACACACGCCACATTTCACAGCCGCATGCGCCACATTTCACAGCCACATGCGCCACGTGAGCCAGACAGTTCGGGGGCAGAAAAACCAGCATACCCCAAAATCTTTCAAATGCCAAGGGGGCATGACTTGCGCCTCCTGGGGGCCTGTTTTGTGACGTGTCGGCGGCCTCTTGGAGGCCTCTGGGGCCGTCTTGGGCATTCTTGCGGCCATCTTGGGCCGCGGCGGGTGCATCTTGGGCCGTTTGGGGGACATCTTGAAACAATAGTTGACTTTATTGGGGCCATCTTGGCCGTCTTGGAGGCCATCTTGGGCGTCTTGGGGGCCTCTTGGGCAGTCCTGGGGGAAGGCCCTGGAGGCTGTCGACCCCGCCTGTGATGTTGATTTCGCGCCGTGGGCCTGCTTTCGAGGCCCCTTCTCCTCCTCCTCGTCCTCCTCCTCCTCCCCCTCCTCCCCCTGCCTCCCCCTGCCTCCCGCTGCCTCCCCCTGCCTCTCCCTGCCTCCTCTTTCTCCTCCTCCTCCTCCTCCTCCTCCTCCTTCTCCTCCTTCTCCACATCCCCATCCTCTTCCTCCTTGTCCTCCTCCCCCTGCTCATCTTGTCTCCTCCTCCTCCTCCTCCCCCTCCTCCTGCTCTCGCCCCCTCCTTTTCCTCATCCCCCCCCCTTCTCCTCCTCCTCCTCCTCCTCCTCCCCCTCTTGGCCTCTTGCGTTTCCATTGCTTCCGCGCCCGTAAGGGCGCGGAAGCAGTTGAACCAGAATTCTCGCGGGAATCCTCGCGCGGCTGATCGGGCGCGTTCGCGGGCGCGCGCAGTTGCATGCATGTTCGGGGCAAAACCCCGCGCGGATTCGATCGACGCTGCTCATGCCAAAACCACAGAAACAAGTTAGGGCAGTTAGGGAAGTTAGGGAAACACGTTATATAAGTTATATCAAAATTATGTTATTGCTCAAGTGCTTGCGCGCGCGAACGTTAGCATCTTCATCATAACTCACGCAAGTGCGTTGACGGCGCTGCCGCATAACTTCCACAATCGGGGTTGGCCTGAACATTAAAGCGCGTAATTTACCGCGCAGTTAGCGAACTTATCGCTCTTCAACTTATAATGCAGCATTGCATTTGTTCATTTTTTGCAGATGTAGCACTTTAACATAGTTTCAGCGCGAGCAACTTCGCGTCGATCGCAAAGCAGGTGCGTGCCTTCCTCGAGACCAGGCTGCTCACGCGGGTCGGGTCTCGGCTGACCCAGCGGGTCGTGCTGGCCCGGGCGCGCTTGCCGTTGCCCCCCCCGACCTCGCCCGCGGCGCCGGCCGTCGGGGCGGCGCTGGCGGCGGCAGGCGGCGACGCATGGCTGGGCCACGCGGGGCGCGTCGCACGAGACCTGGGCGTCAACACCTGGCCGACTGCCCTGCCAGGGGCAACGGGCCCTGCCCGCCGGGCGGCCGCGCGCGCACGGGCTCGCAGGACGGTCGAACCCCTGCTCGAGGCCGCGGGAGCCAAGTGGTTCACGGGGCAGGTGGCGCGCCTGGGCGACGACGAGCTCGTCTCCCTCGCAGACCTGCTGCCCCTCCGGCAGCCCTGGCCGCAGGCACTCCGCTGGGCGCCGTGGGGCCGCACCACGTGGCGCTTCCACCGCGCCTGGTCCGTGGCGCGGGTTTCGAACGACGTCCCCACTTGGACGCGGGGGCTGCCGCCGCCCCCGCCCGAGGCGCCCTGCCCGCTGCGCGGGGGCGTCGAATCGGGCCCCCAGCACCTCCTGGCCACCTGCTCGGCCGTCGCTGGGCCGCGCCAGGAAGTGCGCTCCTGCCAGCCGCCCATGCCATCAGGGCTGCCGGCGTGGGCCCTCGGCGACGCGGCGGACGCGCGCGCGCTGGAGGCGAAGGTGAGGTTCGTCGGCGCCATCGCGGCTGCAGTGGTGCACGCCTTGAGGGGCGAGCCAATGTAAAAAAGGCCGCCCCCCCCCCCCCCCGCCGGGCCCTCTCGGACGCCGCCCGGCGGCAGGTCGGAGGCCTTTTTGGCGCGAATGTCCCGGGCGGTTTTTTGCAGAGTTCTTGGTAACTCGGCAAAAAATCGCCCGCGACTTCCTGCGCCGGAACGGCGCCTGGCCGCCTCCCCGGCGGGCGTCGGGGCGGGCTCGGGGATCGCGTCGGGGGTGCCCGGGCCGTCGTCGGGGGGGGTTCGTGGGAGCCGCGGGGGACGCGGTGGCCATGCGCGGCTACGGGCCAACGCCTGCGCGGCGCGGCCCGGCGGGGGCGGGCCCACCCTCCTCCTCTCGCCGTGCCCCTCCCCCTCCCGCCCCGCCCTGCCCCCCCTCCCGCCACTCCTCTTCGCCCCCCCCCCACTTCTCCTCGCCTCTTCCTCGGGAGCACCGCGGTGACGTCCAGCACCCCTGGCGCCGCAGCCGTTGGCCCAGCGGGGCGGTTGCTTGACCGCGCCGGGGTGCTACCGCGGCCCGAGGGCCGGAGTCACAACTGCGAGTCCT